TAAATTTTCTGAAAGAAAAATTCTAAGAGTTTTAAATAAAGGAAAAGTTATAGAACTCTTTTTGTCTTTCATGTATGATAAGGAGGGACCAGAATGATATGAAACCAAAGGGAGGTTGAGCACGGTGGCCCACACCTGTAATCCCAGCACTCTGGGAGGCTGCAGTGGGAGGATCACTTGAGGCCAGGAGGTTGAAACCAGCCTGGGCAACATAGCAAGATCACGTCTCTACAAAAAATAGGAAAAATTAGCCAGGCATGGTGGTATACACATGTAGTCCCAGCTACTTGGGAGGCTAAGGCAGGAGGATCGCTTTAGACACAGAGTTCAAAGCTACAGTGAGCTACGATTCTGCCACTAATGCACTCCAGCCTGGGCAACAGAGTGAGACCCTGTCTCATAAAAAAAAAAAGAAAGAAAGAAAACTATGGGGATAAAGAGCTTATTGGGAACATTATTAGGACTAAGTGCTATAGTAAATCACTTAAACAAGCTTTATACTCTGCCCCCCCCCCCAAAAAAAGAAGGTCCCACAGGCACAAATAAAGAAATATAAAAACATTCAGATTATCTTTACCCTGCTGGGTGTTAAGAGCCATTGATTCTTGGTGATGGAATTCTTCACAACAGGGGAGGCCTTGGTGAAAGCTGGCTGGAAAACCCTGGAAGGTACTGTCCGGAGACACACAAGCCTTGCGGCCAGCATGGTGGTACACCAGGTTTACCAAGCAGATCTGAAATGCTAATTTAAAAGACAGGAAAAATAAAATAAAATTAAAAAAAACCATTAACCAATTAAAAGGAGGACACAGAGGAGCCAGAGACAAGAAGGAACAAATTATCTTTTAGTAGAAAAGATGGAATAAAGTGATGCTTTTAATTTTCAACAATGAATGCTCTGCTTGCCCCTTGTAATTCAAAAAACCCATCCCACAGAACTTAGTTTGGGATGGAGCACCAAATTAGATTTAAGTCCCAGTTTGATCAATAACAGGATATATAACTGGAAAAGTTATGTGTGACACAGAGTAGATGTTAATAACTAGACAATACAGGGTCTGTGAGGGCTTTTACAAATGTAGTTTTGGCTTAAGGTTTATATCAGCATTCAGTGAGAAAATTTAAAAGACTATATAACTTTTGAACAGAGGAAAAATGTCATCCAAGTAAAAGATGAATAACTCTTCAAGGTCATGCTGCATTACAAGGCTAAAAGATATCAACAGAAGCCAACTACATGAATTTCAGCTAATCATGCTTCCCTTCAAGATATGCAAATACTCAAAGTGAGTTAACCCATTCTATATACCCTACTATGTCTATATAAAGGACATTCACTCTTTCAAAGTAAACTCGGTTACCAACCAGGTTTCCCTCACATTAGACTTTTTCAGTCATGTCCTCCAAAGAAAAGCATGCTAAAAACTGGATTCTCTTGGCTCCAAGGCAGATTATACCAGAGGGTGGCCAACCACAAGTCAGCCGAATGTCTTTCTGTAATGCTCAGATGACTGACAGGTGAGAATGAGATAACAAGCATAAGCCAACGTGGGCTACCAGCTCATCTCTACCAATGATTTGTAGTGAATATTTAGGCAAGTAACTCTCCTTCTGGGTCTCATTTTCCCCATTTGTAATATAAGAGAATTGGACTGAAACAGTGTTCAGACTATAGTGCTGACCCTTACATTACCTGCTTTGAAATTGCCCAGATGCACCTTAAAACGTAGACTCCTGGGTTTTACTTTGCTCCTAATGATTCTGCCTCTAGAAATAGGTCCAAAAATATGTGTTTTAACTAGCACTCCAAAAGCTAAGAACTCTTGCTTTAAAATACCTGAGTGTCCCTCCAGCTCTGCCACTGGAACTACGAAGGGTATATAATATTGAGCATCTGTCCTTTAGGAAAACACCGAGCCATTCTGGTACTTTCGTGCTATTACATCATCTCAAACTACAGCTGTCCTATCTTCCTCGGTCTTCAGCCCACTGGAGCTGAGGAGGCTCAGCTCAGGGTGGCCTCCATGTCGCATAACAGCTTATAGTGGGAATCCTGCTTTTGCCACATGTTAGAAGTGACCTTGTGCGGGTGCTGGACCTTTGAGACTCAGGTGCCTTCGCTATGCAATGGAGAAAGTACTATACACTTTTACAGAAGAGCTTCCGCTTCAGTGAGCATTGATGAGCTCCGGCGCCTGGTCCCCCAAGAAAGTTCGCCCAGCCCACTTCTGGGATGAGAAGCCGGCAGCAAACCTCCCTGTCAACACACAACTCTCCCATACCTCCACCCCTGTCTCAGCTGCCTCTTTATCTGCTAGGGCAGCGGCTGCATGGCCTCGCCGCGAGCATGACTCAGCTCTTCGCTGCCCAGAGAGAGGAGGCCAAAGAGGGAGAGCCACTGTCCGCCTGTCCTGGACCTTGGGGCCGCCGACCCCTCCACCGGGTCATCCACGAGAGGGTGACCCTGACACGAAGCCCGACCGGGACGCAGCCAGCAGCGCCGCCGCCTTCAGCCCTCCCCAGCCCCACCCAGCGGGCGCATTAGGCCGGCCGTCAGGAGCACCGGGGATCCGGGGCGCCTGCCAGCCCGGGGAAGCGGTACCTCAGTTCCCAGTCACCGCCACCACGCAGTTCCCCTTCCGGGCCGGCGAAACACTCGCCCTGCACCTCCCGTACCTCCTGCCCGCTCCTTACTGCTTCTGCGCGTGCAGTCCCTCGGGCTCACTGCGTGACGCAACATCCGAAAGGAGGGAAATAGTATGAGTAGCCAATCAGGAGCAGGCCTATGACGGAAGAGGGGGCACAGTGGTATTAAAATTTTAAAAATATGAATTCAATAAGCATAGCTGCATTTTGTAATCTGGGAAATGGGCTCAAGAAAGGGATTTTTCCTTAACATGAAGCCAAAGGGAGGGATGACTATTACCCTCTGTTTTCGCTCTTTTTCAGCAGTGGAACAGTTAATTTAAGAGAGAAAAAGTTGTTTCCTTCTAGCTTCTGTATATTCTCCTTATTTACCTCCCACTTCAAAACATGTACTCCTTCTAATTTGAATACTAGAGGAGAAATCTATTGTAAAAGGAAATGGGTTTTTCTCTAACCTGACAAATTTTATCATTCTCTAAACCAGAGTTGAAATATCATATCAGATTAGAGTCTATTGTAAAATTTTAAAAGTAGAGCTGAAGTATCTTTAGTAACTTATTAATAAGCTATTGGCCAACTGGTAATATGCCTGGGTT